CAAGTTCCAAGCTGACGTTGCTATATAGTGAGACCCAGTCTCCAAACAAAGCACCCACAGGGCAGTCTCGGAAGCCCCTCTTGTGCTCCTTTGAAAATTTCTATATTCTTCTGAGTGGACTACACCAGAACAACACAGAACTTCTAACACTTCAGTTTTTCTTTTTCACTGTTAAGAATCAAACCATACGCTCGGTAAATAGTCTACTACTGAATATCCCTAGAATAGAACAACGTGTGGGGCATGCGTGTGTGTTTGTGTGTGTATATATCTCTGTGTGTGTGGATATGCGTGTATTCACATGTGTTCTCATGCATGTGGAAGCCAGATTGACATCAGGTACCCCCACTTTAGGTATTGAGGCAGTCCCTTGAAACCACGGGTTGCCACTCCCACTAGCCTAGCTCTCTCACTTGCGACCTCCCTCCCGCCCCTGTCTGCCCTTGAGCTGAGGTTACAGGTGGACCGCCGTGTCCACCCAGCATTTATGTGATGCTCTGAACGCCAATTCGTGCATGCCAAGTGCTGCTGAACTGTCTGCCCAGATCCAGAATTAACCCATTAAATAAGAACGCCACTGCGGTCTCAGCTGGGTTCTGTTTGGATGCTACTTCGGCCACATTTATATAAACTTGATTCCTTGTTACACTTGTCTTCCTCATGCTGTTTCTTGGCTGTAATGGCTTTATCAAGGGAATCTCCATTCTTTCCTAATCCCCATAAATACCCTTTTTTTTTTTGCTTTTGTTGATTTACTTCTTGGGGTTTATTTTGGAGAAAAGTCCCTAGAGTAGGGATTTTCAGCCAAAAGATAGGAATGTTTTATGGTTTCATCTACAGCATTTCACCGAAATAAATCATTGCATACTTTTACTATTGTTTTCTTTTTATCTTTGAACTGGGATCTCACTGTGTAGTCCAGGCTGGTCTAGAATTCCTGGATTCAAGCAATTCTCCTGCCTCATATTCCAGAAGAGCAGAGTAACTGGGACTATGGGTGTATGCCACATTCAGCTCAATTCTTTTTTTTAAAAGAAAAGTTTTTATAATTTTAAAGTGTGTGTGTGTGTGTGTGTGTGTGTGTGTGTGTGTGTGTGTGTGTGTACAGGTGAGTACAGGTGCTTTGCAGGAATCGAATATTGCTGGAGATGGAGTTAGAGGTGGTTGTGACTGCCTGACGTGGTTACTGGGAATCAAACTCAGGTCCCCTGGAAAAGCAGTACATGCTCTTAACCAATGAGCCATTTCTCCAATCCCATAAACTCACTGTTTTCTTGTGTACTGATCTGTGGTTCCCATCTATTCAAAACCATGTGACCAGACGTTTTGAGTTCTTACAGGCCATTAATAAATATATCAACAGATCACAGTGGAAAATTGAGATTTTCCCTTATTCATTGTCGCCCTGTGAGTTGCCTCCAAACTCCCTGTTTTCCTCTCTGGGCTTCTGGAGACGAACACTTCCAAAGCTTCTTGCCTGTTCTCAGAAATTCATCCTTTATTTGCTGTGCAAGGAGGGCCGTGTTTGCATTTGGAAACCCAGGACCGTATTGTATGCAGATGCTGGGGTGCCGCCAGAAAATGTAAAGAGTCGAGGCCTTTAAATCATATTTTAGAAGTCTGGACACAAAAGAGTCTCTTAGAATTTAAAAAGAAAAAAGCATAAAGATTTTGGGATTGAGTTTCTAACTCAAACACTTCCTGTGGAGTTCAGCTGTGTCAGACTCCTCGAGGGGGAAGGGCTGGAGTTCAGGCAAGGAGGGAGAAAGGAGGAAGGGGGGTGGAACCCCCAGATAGAACTGCATGTTCATGACCTATTGAGAAAAACAAATGTGTACAGGGAGGCAGAATAGGGCACAACACAAAAGCTCAACCCGAGGGACCTGGGATACTCCTGGTAGGCTCAGCCAGGAGTGCTTTTCTCTCATGTGTAATTCCCACCTGGGTTTTTATTTTAAAATGAGCATAGCTTTAAAGTCATCATGTGCCCCTCAGCCCTTGCCCTGTAAGAGAGCAATCCAGGTGTGACAGGTGTTGAAAGGTCATCTCCAACATCGGATGCTTTGTTAAGAAGGGAATGAAGACCTGCTGTTAAGCCTAACTTTGAGAGCTGCCTGCACAGTGAGTTACTGCGGCTAAAGGATTCTTTTCTTTTGGAAACTACTGGAGAATGTCTGTCGAGATTGCGGGGAAAGAGTCCTGAGGTCCTGCCCAGGCCTGCAGTTTCTGTGCGGGCTCACTTCCCATTCAGTGGGGATAGGAGGGGATGTCCCGGTACACAAGCCTCAGCCCCTCAGCAAGGCTGATGTTTGCTACTGTACCTGATGGAGCAGGCCTCCTGCTAAGGGATAGGGCTTCTGGGGGTTGGGTCTAGCTCACGGGGGCTAACATGGGTACTCTAGACTAGAGTAGAAGTTTAGGTACAGAGGGAGCTGAGAATCTGATGCCCGGAGACCAGGATCTGATGCCTGGGGCAGACTGAGGGTCTTGGGAGACCCAGGGAGGCGGACTGAGGATGAAGCTGCCACACTCGAGTGCTTCCTGGTTGTCCTGGTGCCGTGTGATGTCCATGGCCTGCCTGCCCAGCGTCCCTCCTCTCCATTGCTGGTATTTGCCCTGTACCTCAGCCGCTCCAACTCAGCCTTCTGAGGAGGAGGTTTGAGGATGGCTTCCAGACCACTGAGAGTGTTCCTAATAGATTTAGACTCAGACTGTTGATCCTGGGCTGTTCCAGCCAGAGGCACCTTGGGCTTGGCTGGGGCCCTATGTTCTGTGAAATTCCAGCTTGGTACTGTTAAAGAAGAAAGGTTTGGGGGCTGCAGAGATAGCCCACTGGATGAAGAGCCTGCAATGATCAGCCTGGATCTCTATCGCCCATGCAAAGGAGTCTAGAGTGGCCATTCATACCTGAAACCTCAGCACCAAGGTGGGAGGTCCCTGAGTCTCCCCGGCAAGCTGGTCCAATCAAAATATTGAGTTGCTTTTTCAGTGAGAAAATTAAAGCGAAGATACCTGGTTTTGTCCCTTGGTTTCTATACATGCACACATGTATGCAACACACACACACGTGCACACAAACACCAAACACACACAAAGAAGGGGTCCTTGTTAAAACATTGTATGACAGCAACAATTCAAAATAAGGCATAGCAAGGGGTGTTTTATAACCCACAACCAGGGTGGGCAGTCAGTAGACCAAGTAGTACCAAAGGTGAACTCTGGCTAAACTCACCAGACAGAAACAGGACTTTTGCTGAAGGCACGCCAGGGTGCGCAGACATCACCTGGAAGCTGATGGAGCGTGAGGAACCTCACCAGGATTCTGGAATGGTCAGATACTAAGGCTGGGGGCGGGGGTTGCTAAACTGACTCAGAAGAGTTCATGGCTAGCTCTGAATTTTACAAGGAAGCACAAAACAGACCCAAGAGAAGGCCCAGAAGTTTGAGTTTGTTTGACCAAGCAGAGAACCTGTCGTCCACCCCTTGTTCCCCTTTCACTTCCTGCAGAGCAGTATTAAAAAATTACCTCTCAGAGTCAGGCGCTGGTGGTGCACGCCTTTAATCCCAGCACTCGGGAGGCAGAGGCAGGCAGATCTCTGTGAGTTCGAGGCCAGCCTGGTTTACAGAGTGAGTTCCAGGACAGCCAGGGCTACACAGAAAAACCCTGTCTCAGAAAACAAAAAAACAAAAATTACCTCTCAGGCTGGAAAGAGTACCTTTCAGTGGTGAGGCATGTATTTTTAGCGTAAGTCTGGATCCTATCCCCAACACCTCAAAAATATAAATAAACCAACAACTGAATAAATAAATAACTCTTTCCCCTTTAAAAAGAGATTTATTTTTGGAATGTGTGTGTATTTGTTTGGTGTGTACACTAAAGGTGAGCAGAGGCATCTGAAGAGGGCCCCAGATCCCTGGGAGCACAGGTTACAGGTGGTTGTGAGTCTCCAGACGTGAGTCCTCTGGAAGAGCAGCAAGCGCTCTTAACCACTGAGCCATTTCTCCAGCTCCTAAATTTGCATCTTTATGTTTGAAGCACCAGTACTAATAATGGTAAATGCACCATACAACTCAAGTTAGCGGGTTACTGCTTTTACTTTGTTGGGATTTAGGGTTCCTAACTAACCTCCCCGCATCTCAAAAGAAAGAGTTAATGCCCTTTGTATTCTTTCAGGACTTGAGCCCTGGCTCATCTGGGATGCGATGGTGGGCCAGCTTCTTCCAAGCTTACATCTCTCTTGGGACGACTTTTAATTCTGGCCCTAGAAGTTGTTCTATGGCTGGGTAGCTCAGTGGTGCAGCATGTGTTTAGCCGGCAGCAGGTTCTGGATTCAATTCCCAGCAACCAAAGATTTTCCAGGAGGTCAGCTCAGGTCACGAGCGCACCAGAGCTGTCCCTGTGAGTTACCACAGTAGCATGCCACCCCTGTGGCATTTCTTTTCTTCTCTCCCATGTCCAGCACAGGGCTGGGCATGCATGGAGACTTTTGTTCATTTCTACTGAACCGAATTATCCAGGCCAAGGATCCCCTGGAAAGGAAGAAAGGGAAATGTCATAGTGAATTAGGCCAGAACCCCAAGACTATGGGAGAGAGGGTCTGTGGAGATTCCAGGGTGAAGAGAGGACAGCTCTTGGGAGCCCAGAGAGCTGCTCCAAGGACCAGTTTTAATCCACCCCCGCCCCAAAGTCTCTCCCATATGCCTTCCTTTCAGCGTCCCTTGCCTGGCAGGAAGCCACCTTGGCTGCTTCTCCTACTGTGCTTAAACATGGAGCCCAGCAGAATTGGGATGCCCTCTGTTGAGCTGGCATCAGTGATGCTCAGAATTGTTCAGTGTTTACTATTGCTTTGCTTCTCATTAGAATATCGCCTGTAGAATTTAATGACCTTTTCAGAAGTGTTCTGGAAAATACTAGAGACCCTTCAGAACTGTTGTGGAGTTTTCCACTTCTCTATTCTGCAACTGACCTTCTCCCCCAACTTTTTGTCTTCTTGGTTCAGAAGTTGGATGGAGTCGCCAAGCTGCGGACAGTTCGGGAAGCCCCCTCCGAGTGCATCTGTCCCCCAGGTAGGTAATGCTTTCTTCCTTGCTGGCTCCTGACATCTGGAGGCCTGGCCTTTCTCCCTGCCTGCGGTTGTAAAATGTTGAGGTCACCATCAGTCGAGAGGCTGGTCTGGTGCTCCATGGGTACCATCCTGCGACCTTTCCTACTTGGCTTCCCTTGGCAGCTGGTTTGTCAAAAACCCCAGCCATGTAGGCAAGTGGCTGGAGCTCCCAGGGAGATTAACACTGGCTTCAAATATTGCTGAGTGGCGGGAAAGTGGCAGCCCCTCTGAATGAGTCTGCAGAATGAACCAGAGGAGCCACGCTCCCGGCTTCATGATTGCTGTGAGCCAAGCTCTGATTGGCACAGGGAGGGGACAGTTGGCGAGCCTGCAGTTTGTTTTTGTTGTTGCTGCTTTGGGTAGCAGAAGAGGATGGGACCAGGAAAGTAAATCTGGGGCATTTGGGTAATCAAGTCTCTCTGTTTTGCTGGTGTGGATAAAACCTGGACTTCTAGGCACCCCAGACATGTGGCTCAAATCTAGGTGCATGGTGGGAATGAGACCGTGGAGCACTGTATGACCACGACTAAGAGTAGGGTGTGGGGCTTCTGCCATGGGCTTTCGAGGTTAGACTGAGTCTTGCATAGGATGCAGTGTGACCCAGGGAGGGAGAGGCTCATGGCAATGTGTCTCATGCTGGAAAGGTTTTCTTTGTGTGTGTGTATGTATACATTCATGCGTCTATGTACAGGTATGTAGAGGCCAGAGGTTGAAGGTGGTGTCCTCTTTAGACACCGTGTACCTTCATTCTTTTTTTTCTGATTATTGATAGCGATCTAGTATCGATTTAGTATTGATCGCTTATCATCTATTGGATGCACCAAACGGGACTCGAACCCGGGTCCTCCGCCAGAGCGTTAGGCGCTCCTAGCCGCTGAGTCACGGCTCAAGCTGCTTACCTTCATTCTTGAGACAGGGTCTCTCACTGAACTTGAAGCTGCACTGGCTGACCAGGAGCTCCACCGTGTCTGCCTCCCCAGCGCTGAGCTGACTGGGAGTGCTAACCCACAGAACTCTCTACATGTGATCTGAACTCAGGTCCTGTGCTGTCCGGCTAGCACATCATAAGCTGAGCCATTTCCCCAGCCCTGAGCAGTGACTTCTGTAACTGGTACAGAGCAGGGGAGAGCTGAAGCCCTGCTCCCCACCAGCATCCCCCAGTTTACTCCAGGGTACCCAGAAACCATCAGTGTCTCAGGTCTAGGGGCTTCCTCTGCAAAGGTGGATCTGAAATTCTGTCTCTGGACTCAGTGGAGGATTTTATGGTTGAGTTTGAGCCCTTAGTTGACACAGAGGATCTGAAGAGGAAATATAATGTGTCCAGTAGTGACAATATTTGTAGGTCAGGATTCAGAAATTATACTTAAATGGGGGAAAATATAGATCCACAAATGAATTTTTAGATGACCTGTAGGATGTGTAAAATGAGGTTATTTTTTTCCTTCTTTTGTTTCAAGTGTTGTGTTTGGTGTAGTTCATCTACATGGGCTCTGATCTATGAATTAACCTGTGATTTAGCCAAACAGGGGTTAAAAATTTTTCTGTCATTACTTCCTAACAACTATAATATAACAGCTACTTGTATATTATAGGTCAGTTCTAGATGATTTAAATATATAGGAAGAGGTATATATCCTATGCAAATATAATGCAAATGTGCATCCTAATACAGTGCTGTTTTATATGAATGACTTTAGCACCCTATAGGGTGACAGGTTCACTGATGCACTCTTCCATGAATACCAAGGGGTCCTTTTACATTTGTGTAATTTGTGTGAACATGTATGGGGTTTTTTAAGATTTTAAAAAAATTAATGTGTGTGTGTGTGTGTGTGTGTGTGTGTGTGTGTGTGTGCATCTTGGCACTGCAGAAGCCAAAAGAGGGTATTACATCCCCTGGGGATAGAGTTATAATGGTTCTGGGAACCAAACTCTGGTCTTCTAGAAGATTAGCAAGCACTCACAACTCCTAAGCCATTTCTCCAGTCCCTCTAAGTATGTTTTTAAACCGGGAGGCACAGCCGTTCATGAGACATAGTTTCATACTTTGCAATCTTGTAATCAGTGTTTTGGATTTCTAAACTGTTATAGAGTGGAATTAAAAAAAAATCCTGGGGTGAAAGTTTGATTATTGATATTTGTAGGTGTGGCCTGCCATGAGACTGTTGCCTGCCATGCTTGCTAACAGAATCTTCACAAGTCTCAAAAATGGAAGAGAGATGGGGAGAAGGGGAGGAAGCAGTGAGGGGGATACCCCACTCTCGACTGCCCTGCTTCAGTTGTCCTGAGGGTGCCTGGCTTTGGTGCCACAGTCAGTACAGCTCTAGGGATATGGCAGCGTCGTCTCCCTCGGGCCTACTGCCTCCCTGAGTCCTTATCTCGTCACCCCCAGTGTAGGCTCTAACTCGAGCCTTTCAAGTCCTTCATCAGTACAAAGCCCCAGTGCTCTGGCATGGCTGCCTGAGACTAGAAAAACCCTTCACTGCAACCCAGGGGCCTGAGTTCGCTCCCTCTCTTCAAAGCTCTGATCAAAGAGCTCTGGAGACTTTAGGGCTCTGGAGACTCAGAGGGCCCTCTGTATCTTGGGTCCCCATCTGATCTGAGACACAGGCAGGTCACCACCCAGCTCCTTCCCACGGCCCAGGGAAACAGTATAAGCTTTTGTCAGATCCCAGCAGAGGGAAGGCAGATAAGCAGGGCCAGAGAGGGGCAGCACGTGTGTGCTGCCTGTTGAGAGCATTGCCTGTTGGGAGCTGGCTGTGCAGGCGCCGAGGGGCATGGTGGGCTTCAAGCAGGAAGATGGCCCTTATGCCCAGATCTGTTGTGGGAGGACCTTCAGTGCTATGCTGAGCAGGCTCTGTGACTTCTGGTGAGTGAAGGGCCCTTCACATCATCTACAAAATGACATAGTGTATCTAACTGGTTTCCTCAAAAGAGGTGTTCAAATCCTAGTGCCTTGTTCCTGGGAATGAGACTTTATTTGAAAATAGGTTATTTTCAGTGCCCAGCAGTTTCTTATCTGGTAAAGGACGCTCTTCAAGACCCCTAGTGGATACTGAAGCTTTGGATAATATCGAACCCCATTTATGTGTATGTACATGCATGCATATGTGTGCAGTTCCACATAGCGTGAATTTATATAGTTGCATATATGTAAGTGTACATTTTTCTACACATACATGCTATGTTGGCTAGTCTTATGTCAACTTGGCACAAGCTAAAGTTATCGGAAAGGAGGGAACTTCAATGGAGAAAATGCCCCTATAAGATCTGGCTATAGAGCATTTTCTTTTTTCTTTTCTTTTCTTTTTTTTTGTTTTTGTTTTTGTTTTGTTTTGTTTTGTTTCGAGACAGGGTTTCTCTGTGACTTTGGAGCCTGTCCTGGACCTAGCTCTTGTAGACCAGGCTGGCCTTGAACTCACAGAGATCCACTTGCCTCTGCCTCCCAAGTGCTGGGATTAAAGGTGTGCGCCACCACTGCCCGGCTTAAGCATTTTCTTAAGTAATGATTGATGGGGGAGGGTTCAGCCTATTGTGGGTGGAGCCATTCCAGGGCTGGTGGTCCTGAGTTCTGTAAGAAAGCAGACTGAGCAAGCCAGTAAGCAGCACCGCTCCATGACTTCTGCATCAGCGCCTGCCTCCAGGACCCAGCACTGTTTGTTTTCCTGTCTTTGGTCATTGGTCATGTATTTCATCGCAGCAATAATAACCCTAACTAAGGCACACCTATGGTAAAGTTTGACTTATAGATTGGACATAGTGAGAGATAAACAGCAGTTATTAAATATAACAGATACACTGTAATAAAGGTTACATGGATGGGCTCTTTCTCTCTCAAAATGTCTTATCATACTCTTTCCTTTTTAACCCAAGGAAGAAGCACTTTGCAGCTTTCCTTGGAAGGCCTGAACTGTCAGCTCAATGCTCTTGCACCATAGGGCCAATACTAAAATAAGGGTTACTTGACCACCAGCCCTGAGGTACCACGACAACCAATGTAGTGAGTAGACTCTGTGCATGTATGGGAGACTTCACCATGCTACTCAGAGTGGTGTGTAGTTTGACATTCCTGAGTTACTTATTTCTGGAATTTTCCACGTAAAGTTTCTGGACTTTGGTTGGCAGTGGGCAGTCAAAAATGCAAAAAGTAAAATCTCAGAGATGGGAGTTTTGCAATAATTAAGATTAGAATCGCGCAGCAAGATCTTTCATGATAAGGGTGGGTCCAATTCAGGGCCCTTGAGCGCTTAGAAGAGGCAAGAGTGAGAGACGTGAGATACAGAGATGCACAGTAAAGACCGTGTGTCAGCACAGCCAAGGATGGGGACGGTGCTATAACAAGCCAGGAAACGCTGGCTTTCCTCAGGGCTTTTGGAAGAAGCCATCCTGCACACACCCTGAACGTGTGGCCTCCCGAACCAGGAGGGGCCATTTGTTCTTTTTCTACACCTGATTTGTGGCAAATGTTGCTGCTAAAACCATAGGGATGAAAACAAATGGGGACAATAATCACCCCAAGGAAAGCAAGCACGGAGGTGCATGCACGTCACCCTGTGTGGGCGGTCCCTAGTCAGCAAGTCCTGTTGTGGGCTCCATGCCCACCTGCTTATCCACCACTTGGTGTCCCTGTGTTATTCAGTACCTGACGGCTGTCTGCACTCTTAGGTCTGTCGGCATCTTCTCTTCTTACAAGTGCTTTTAAATATAGTTGAGGTTTTAAAATGTTTATTTTTTGAATGGGGAGTAAAACATGGCATGGTGGGCAGTGGTGGCATATGCCTTTAATCTCAGCACTTGGGAGGCAGAGGCAGGTGGATCTCTGTGAGTTCAAGGTCAGCCTGGTCTATAAAGGGGAGTTCCAGTACAATCAGGCTGACACAGAGAAACCCTGTCTCAAAAAAGAGTTATGTGTGGTTGTGAGCTGCCTGATGTGGGTGCTGGGAACAAACCTGGGTCTCTGCA